TCATTATTTTATAAAGAAAAAATAAACTCAGCTGATTAATGATTTTGGGGGTAAAATCGACAATGAACATGCAGGGTCAATATGCAATATAATACTGGTACATAACAAGAATAAGCCTTGCGATCAATCAACAATTTCTGTTTTTTAAAAGAAATTTATTTGAGGAAAATCATGTCATCAATCGCTTTAGCCAATGCTTTATTAAGAGATATTAGTAAACGTTATGAAAATGCAGATGATTATGATGTGAATCTTTATGTTGGTGAAGAACCAGAAATCGAAGTTTTTCAAGCTCATTCTTTTATCTTACGAGCTAGGTCTGCATATTTTCATGCCGCATTATCTAATAATTGGGTAAAAAAAGAAAATGATAAAATTTCCTTTAGAAAACCAAATATTTCACCTAAACTGTTTGGACCCATCTTAAAGTAATTTACGATTTTTTTTTTTTAATTTTTCTCGGAAATTTTGGCGTGTAAACATATAATTTAAACTTCTAACACATCATACATCACACATTACATAGATATATGTATACAAGTAGTATCGAATTAAATATAGAGTCAGCAAATCGGCAGGAGTATTTTGAACTTATAGCAGCAGCAGATGAATTGACACTTACAGAATTAGTTGATCATATACAAGAGCATATAATTTCGAATGAAAAAGGATGGTTACTCGAAAATTTTGTTCAAGTCTTTCAAAAAATTTCCACATATGAAGCGATGCGTAGACTTCAAGATTATTGTGCAGAATTAATTTGTAATGATCCGTCAGGTAATTTAATATTTTAATCTATTACATAACGTCGTATTATAGTAATTAAAAAATTAAACGAGCTTATCATTAAATTCAGTCGTTTTTACGTCGGATTTTGGATCACTTGAAGAGCCAGCATTATTAGCATTATTACAACGTGATGATCTTGTAATGGATGAGATTGATATTTGGGAGTGGTAATTATATATTTATTATTTAAATCAGTTGAGTTTATTTTTTCTTTATAAAATAATG